TTCTCTGGTGTGCGACACTGAACGTGTTAATAAGGATTAAAATGAATAATTGATAATGTTAAATGGGAAGAAAAGGTCCAAAGGTGTAGGGCAAGCATGAGCGGTAGGAAGTGGGAGGGGAAAGGAAAGAAGGGAAAGGAAAAAATATGAGAAAAGGAAAAAATGGAAACAAAGTATTTTGCAAATAGGGAGGGGTGGAGGGGGTGAAGGAAGGGCAGGGGAATGGGGAAAAAATAAGAACCGAGATACATCATGTAAAGGTACAAGTTCCCAATGAGAAATGTAAATGTACTATATACCTAAAATTTACCAATAAAATAATTTAAGAAAATTTAAAAAAGGAAGTATATTGAATGGTGCCTTATCTGAGGAATATAAAAGCAGATCAACATTTAAAAATCAACTCATAGATATAATTCAGTATTCTAATAGACTACAGAGGAAAATACTATTTACTCTAACAATATTATAAATGCATCTGATCAAGTTAAACATCTATATTATTTAAGTCCTCATTCCTAAAAAAACTCTCTCAGCAATTTAGGAACAGAAGTTCCTTAGCCTGATACTGCATATGCATAGTGAAATAAGCCTCGATTCTCTGTTTCTAAAAGGGGAATAGGTCAACAATGTCTATTCTCATCTCCTCTGCAGCAAATCAGAGGAAATATAAATAAAAAGTAAAAAAGGAAGAGATGGCAGGAAACAGGGAAATAGAATTCTTAGAGATGGGAAAGGAGGGTGAAGGAAAGAAGAGGGAAGGAGAAGAGAGGGGCAGGACAGGCATCAAAATAATAAATATTATTAATAATTATAAATTATATTAATAAGTATATTATAATATTTTAATACATGTATTATTAATTATATTATATTGATAATAATAACTATTAAAATAATTATATATGCATGTAATTACATATATCCCAAAACAAATGTAACTATTATGCACTGTACACAGATACCAAAAGTAGAGTAACTATATTACCTGATTTAAAAAATAGCAATACATTAGCAAAAGAATATGCATAATAGTCAATAAATTTACTCAAAAATTTTGCAAAAATACAAATCATTTTAAATGGTGTTAAAAGTTGAATGCCTATGTGCTAAAGCAAAAAAGAATACCTTGTTCCTTATCCAATTGGTAACTTGATAATCTAATTATTAAATTTAAAAATAGAGCTTCTATAAGAAAACATAGAAGAAATTCTTATTGACCGTGGCACATTTGTTTTCTTCTTTCTTTTTCTTTTTGTGCTTAGAATTGAATGTACATACTCACACACTCTAGGCATAAACCCTAGAAAGACAAGTCACACACTGAGAAATAGTATTTGCAAAATTTATATCCAACTAGGAATTTCACATAGAATATTTAAACACCTCTTGATACTCAATAGTAGGAAAACAACTCAGTAAAAATGGGCCAATAATGTGAATAGACATTTCACCAAAGAAAGTATTTGTGATATACTGCTGATAAATAAGAATAAAAAAAAACACTGTCTCATTACTTGCTAGGAAAATGCAAATTAAAACCATGAAGAATATTATCACATACTTATTAGAATAACTATAATTAAATTTCAAAAAATCAACAATACACATATCTCATAAGAATGGGGAACAACTAGACTTCTCATACACTGCAAGTGAAAAAACGGAAGAATGTAGCTACTTTGGAAATGTGTCCGGTAGTGTCTTACAAAGGTCAACATACCCCCGCCATATGGCTTAGTAATTCAATTCCTACATATTTATCCAAGAGAAATGAAACTTTTGATCACTTAAAAACCTAGAAATCTGGAATTATTTTTGAAATTAGAAAAATTCAAACAATCCAAAAGCTTTTCACATGGTTTTAAAAAAAATTCACACACAAACACACACACTCACAGACACACACAGTGAAATGCTGCTGAACAATAGGAATGACTACATTCTGATGACCACACCATGGGTAAATTTCAAGTTCAACATGGTAAGCGAAGGGAGGAGACCACAGAGAGCTTTGTGCTGTACAATCCCATTAATGTGGCATAAACGGAAAAGACAGTTATATGGGTAGAAACAAACTAGTAGCTTCTAAGGTTTTGAAGTAGTAGGAGGAGAATGACTATAAAGGGATAAGAGGGAAATTTGGGGGCCAATGTAAGTGTTCCATATCATGATTGTGTTCATTCTTACATAACATTTTGCACCTGTCAAAACTCAAAAATATATAAATGTTATTGTATGTGAATGTTTACATAAAGAGTAAAAAGATGCAATATTTTAGAAGTGGTCAATAAATATTATAGTATGATTTGATTTAATTATTTTTATTACTAATCTGGTCGGGCAAGTGGCAAGTAGCCTAGAAGTGCAATTTTGATACCAACAAATATGAATTCAATTAAAAGAAACAAGGCCGGGGATTTAACTCAGTGGTTCCGCTATCTGCCTCGCAAGCGCAAGGACCCGAGTTCGATTCCTGGTACCAAAAAGAAAAAACAAAAACAACAAAAAAAAAAACCTCAATTAAAAGAAACATAGGGACAATAAAAGACACAATCAGAAATCCATTTGAAAAAGGAGGAGAGAAGGTTAAACAGGGCCAGAAAAAATGGGTCACCTATGAAGAAGTCAAGAGTTCAAATCACCAAAACTTGTCTAGGGTGGGGTGAGGTTGGGTTGGGTTGGGTTGGGATGAGTTTGGTTAGGTGGTGCTGGGGACAAAAGGGCTCACACATGCTGGACAAGTGCACTACTCCTCAGCCCACTTAATATTGAGCAGATATACAGCAACAATGTCACAGGAGTGTCCACATCTTAAATCAGGAGGAATACTCAAAATGTTTTAAAAAGTGTACAGCGAAAGGGATGAAGGAAGGTATTCTGGGAACAAAGGCACCTAGAACACTGGGCTGTGGAGCCTGGCTTCTGATGCACAGGGTTATAGAAACAAGAACTGAGGAACCAGTTAGAGAGCCATCTTGACTTTGCTTCCAGGAGCTGCTACAGACTGGTGCTCATGGTCTAAATTTATTGTACCAGAAGCATAGACACTAGTGTGGAAGCAAGCCACCACCTTTATTGGAGGCCTCTGCCTTGGTAGTAATGGGCACTAGGGCAGAGAAAAGGGTGAAGAGAACAGTTATTAACATATTATGTGGCTTATCTCTCACTAACTCTTTGTCAAATTCAGTTTCCACCAATGGAAAATGAGAGACCGTGCCTAAAAACAAACAGAAAATCAAAGGCAGTAAAATAATTCTCTGATTTCACATTGTTATACATTTTGATCCTCATTTACACTTTTAGGCTCTTACACCAGAAAATTTACACGTGTCTTTTTTATTTCACACACGAGTATGGTTTCAGTGGGCTGAAGATGAAAAGGGGAAGTGTGAAGGGGTAGGGGAAAGGAAAGAAGAGAAAGAAAAACATGAGAAAAGGAAAAATGGAAACAAAGTCTTTGTAAATAGCGAAGGGTGCAGAGGCTGGAGGGAGGGCAGGGGAATGGGTGAAAAAACAAAAACCAAGATAGATTATGTAAAGGTACAAGTTCCTAATGATGAATGTTATCATATTGTATATCTAAAATGTGCCAATAAATTGAAAACATTTTTAAAAGATAATTCTCCTAGTAAATACTGCACATAAGAATGATTCTTAGAGGACATGGTATTTGATGTGAATGTAAAAGATGTTTACATAAAAATTTGAAGACAAAGTTTTATAAAATGGAGTACTACACAGCCATAAGAATGAGAAACAAGAGACATTTATAGCTAAACGGATGCACAATGAGGCTATACTTTTAAGTGAAGTAGGACGTGCATATGTAAATACCAAATAGCTTCTCTGATGTGCAACACTGAAAGTGTAAATAAGGATCAAAATGTGTATTAGATAACGTGAAATAGGAAGAAAAGGTTTAAAGTGGAAGAAAGGGAAGGGGGAAAGGAAAGAAGGAAAATGAATAAATATGAGAAAAGGAAAAAAACAGAAAGTCTTTGTAAATAGGGAGGCGTAGAGGGGTTGAAATAAGTGAGAACCAAGATATATCATATAAAGGTACCATTTCCCAAAGAGGAATGCCATATTGTTGTATTTCTAAAATTTACCAATAAACTTAATCAATGAAAAACAATTGGGGACAGATAAAAGGAAAGGAAAGAGACAAAAGATAAAAGGGAAAAAAAGGGTAAAGTTGGAGAGAACAATGGGGAAGGCAGTAGGAAAGAGAATATGGAAAATGTGCAGTATTGAGAATGTAACCAAAGATAAAAGCTAACCTTGAGGAAATGTCAGCAAACTGGCCAGTCCAATGGGACTAAAGATGGAAGGCCACCAAGAGCTGAATGCACAGCAGCGACTCAGTTGACGAACTTGATTCTTTCCATGATTCGGGTTGCAGACCAAGTTGGACCAGAGCTGAATCAAATTCAATGGTTAGGCTCAATGTCGACGTGAAGGGGAAATTTGGTTTGGTTCTCACCCAGTTCAATTTGCCACCAGAAACATGTAGAGAACTGACTTTGTGAAGCAAGGTACCACTCTGACATCACTGAATGAAATGTTTCATGGGAAGGCATAACCACTCTTGATCTGATGTTCGATATGATGCTTGTAAACCAAAGGAAATGACAATTTGAGTTTTATATTTCTTGACACTCTTAGCTTTAATCAATCAAATGTTAATTGAACATCTAACATACATAGTACCATGCGAAGTGCTATGCATAATTCAGAAATAATATATTTCATTGGCCCTAAGTAGAGTTTATAATCCGAAAAGCACAATCTAGAGCACCTGAAAGAAAGCTTAGTAAGAGAATAAAAAGACTAACTGAAAAGATTAAATAAGCAATGTGTCTTTCAGTCTTTGCCTCCAGCGCATGAAATCAATAAGCACTGTGCTCTTATTTGCAATATTCTGTGCTGAATATTATAATATGTATTCTGAAATTAGCCTTCTTTGTTTCCCTTTCTTCCCTTTCCTTCCTGTCTAGAACATAATATTGTGTATCTACACACCAGCTGGTGTATAAATCCAGGGAGAAACGAGATGGAAATCATGTGGAAGAATGAGATTTGAAAGTTCCATTTTAGTGATGTGTGAGCTAATATTAAGAATAATTGCATATATTGAGGATGTACTCCCAAGTGAAATAAGTAAGTCACACATGTATAAATACTGAATAGTTTCTCTGGTGTCAAAAACTATAATGGTACATATGATCCTAATGAGATAAGTGACAATGTGAAATAGGAAGAAAAGGGCTAAAGGTGTAGGGGAAGTGGGAAGGGTAGGGAAAGACAGTAAGCAAAAAAAAAATGAAAAAATGGAAATAAAGTATTTGTAAATAGGGAAGGGAGGAGGGGGTGAAGGGAGAGCAGGGATAAGGGGAAAAAATGAGAACCAAGATCTGTCATGTAGAGGTACAAGATCCCAATGATGAATGTAACTGTACTGTATACCTAAAATGTACCAATAAACTCAATGAGGAAAAAAAAAGAATAATTGTACAGTGATTCTGCTGCCTGCCTCGCAAGCACAAGATCCTGTGTTCCATCCCCAGTACAAAAAAAAAAAGAATAATTACAAAATTCAAAATTTATCCAGAAAGTAAATTAGGGGGTTGGCATTTATCTCAGACTTCAAATCTTTAAAAACCTTATTTTGGGCTGGTGGTGCAGTTCAGTGGTGGAGTGCTTGCTTAGCCTGCAAGCGTTACTGGGTTTAATCTTTAAGACCACAAAAACAACTGTTTTCACACTGAGGAGAAATTTGTAATCTATAGTGTTTGAAAGACTCTTCATCTGATTGATGAAGTTTCTCCGGAAATCCAAAGCTGTAAAGTTCAACTGGGAGCCAGATAAAAAGTTTCCTAGAGGCCAAGTGATTTTCAGTCTCACTAGAATATTACCATTTCTGATTTTCTCCCTATATTTATGCTTCAGTTTGGATCCTTTTTCTTTTTTTATTATTGTTTTTGTTTTTTAAAAGGCCATTTTCAATTAAAGTTTCTAATTAGATTCCACATTTGACACATATCTCTAGTAGAAAGCAAATAGTCATGGTAGTAATTAAAAGGCAGCTGTCTCTTGTTTTCTTGGGACAAAACAAGGCTCAGAATGTTTCATGATTTTCTTCTTCTATTTAAATAATAGCCAATTTATTTTTAAATTAATTTTATTCGTACATGTAATGTATGCAATAAAATGACATTCATCTTTGGAAGTTTGTACCTTTACATAATCAATCTTGGTTCTTATTTTTTCCCAAGTCCCCCGCCCTCCCTTCAACCCCTCCCTCCCCCCCAATCTACCAAGATTTTGCTTCCATTGTTTTTCATTTTCTCATCAATTCCATTCCCTTTTTTCTTTTCCCCTACTCCTCCTATTTCCCCTTTCTCTTTGTCCCTTTTCCTCCTATTTCACATTATCTATTATACCTTTCAGTCCTTATTTACACTTTCAGTTTCTCACAGTAGAGAAGCTATTCAGTATTTACACACGTGTGTCCAATTTACATCACTCAAGAGTGTCACCTCAATGTGCATCTATTTAGCTATAAATGTCTCTAATTTCTCATTTTTTATGCCTGAGTAGTATTCCATTTTATTAAAAAACTACATTTTCTTTATCCAGTCTCCATTGATGGGCAATTGGGCTGCTTCCGAGTTTTAGCTATTACAAATTGTGCTGCTATGAACATGGGTGCGCATAGAGCCAATATAGCTGAAAGATGCCGAATTGGTCTAAGAATGCCAATGCCCTTCCTAACATGTATACTGAAAACCTCTTTTCTGGAATGAGGATAAGTGAACTGAAATATTTTGGGTCATTAAGGTGTTCACTGCTGAGAGTATAAATTCTTCACCTTTTATAGAATATGGAATTATTCTTTAAAGTACTAATGTGGGCATTAACCCAAGTCATTTACATAACTTTAAGGCTTTTTAGGAACCTAAATTAAGAAAATTAAAAAAAAAAAGGATTGACATTTTTATATAAAAGAAAATGAATCAGACTAGCTGAGGGGCAAGTAATAATTTTTTTGGTTTTTCTTTGTTGGACTTAAGGAAACTAATATTACACTGATGTTAAAAAATTGTTTATGAAGCTCTTACTTCAGAACTCATTTTGGTGCCTAAGGCAATATTTTCACATTCAAAATATAATCAAGACCTGAAGCAATTAACTACATAATTCAGGTCAGAGAAACTCTCTGCTGGAAAAGCTAAACCATGGAGGCAAACAGATTATTTTCTGGCTTGAGTTATCTAGATTCTAGGAAATTATCTAATATAGTTTGATGTGCATAGATATCAAATACCAAAATTACCAAATTACCAAATTATTACATTGCCAAAATGCAAATGTGTCCTAAGCAGTAAAAGAACCTCTTAAAATCTATACTCCCAAGGGAAAATCTTGAAACAATTCCCCACGTAATCCCAAAAATAGCTTTGGAAATTTTTCAGTGTTACACACACACACACACACACACACACACACACACACAATAAACCATGGAGGCAAACAGATTATTTTCTGGCTTGAGTTATCTAGATTCTAGGAAATTATCTAATATAGTTTGATGTGCATAGATATCAAATACCAAAATTACCAAATTACCAAATTATTACATTGCCAAAATGCAAATGTGTCCTAAGCAGTAAAAGAACCTCTTAAAATCTATACTCCCAAGGGAAAATCTTGAAACAATTCCCCACGTAATCCCAAAAATAGCTTTGGAAATTTTTCAGTGTTACACACACACACACACACACACACACACACACACATTTTGGTTTTGCTTTTTTACTGTAAATTTTATCAGAATCACTAACGTCAATTGGCACTTAAATCTCCTGAAAGTGTTACAGTGTTCAGAAAGTTGTAAATTCTCTGGACCCCAAATCATTTCATGCAGGACACGTCCTTTGGTTGTGTCCCAAAGACAGAATACCTTGAGAACTTCTTTGCCCCAAAATTAGCTCATCGACACCATACTCTTTCGGATGTCCTGTCAGCTAGGGTGAAATGGGCTGACAGATCCGAAAGTGCTATATCCAGGGAACAAAGAGTTCAAGCGACACGAACAGGAATGTCAAGGGGGGAAAGTGGCCGAGCTCTCCCTTGCCACGACACTTGACCCGGGGGAGCCGGCCAGGACACAGACCCAAATCTACTTCACCCTGGGTCTCTCTCCTCTTCTGTGACCATACTGTAGCCACACTAGCTTTCTTTCCATTGCTTTTGTTTTTTCATTTAAAATTTTTTTTTTTTAAATTTATTGTTGTGGCATCTGCCAGGGACTCTAGCCTCCTAATCAAAGTTTCAGCCTAAATGTCATCATCCGGAGAAGTACTGTCAACGTAACCCACAATAGATTCTTGCTCCCTCTCCAATATATCCTCCCACAGAACTGTAAAATTTTCCTTTTTAACATTTATTACAACTCTTACTCACATATCGCTATTTGCTGATTTCATGTCTCTCCCACTGGACTTCAGGCACCACAGAGTCGACTGGACTATGCATATTTTTTTCAATTATGTAAAATTATTTCATAGATGAGTTTCCCACATGGTAGATCTTTCGTGAATATGTGATAATTTAATAGCAAGTGCTACCAATAAATTAATTCTTTCACATTGCTGTCTAGGTCTAGCCTAACTTACACTCTCATAACTGGTTTAAATTGCACATCGAAGGACATTTTTCTGTAGGGTAGGAACAGTTACCTGTAGCAGCCAGTTACACACACTCTAAGACACCAAAATGGTATTATTAAGATTATCTGGCTAACAATAGGGGAGATAAGGTTGCATTTATTATCAGTTTTAACAAGTGTTATATGTTAAAGTACTGAGATTGCGCCTGTACCTGGTTCAAGTTGTATTCCTCAACACTTCTTCTCTTTGACGATTATTTTGCTGGTTTCAGGACTCTGCAAAGGACAAAAGGACAAATTGTTAGGACTTGTAACTCTATAATGCCCATTTTTACAAACGTGGGGACTTTCTATACCCACAAGATCCACAGAACACATTTGTTTCTTATTTCTGTTCCAAATTAATATGCCTCAAGCAGGTCATAGAGCTCCATTGGAAGGAATTATTCCTTACCCTTATTTACTGCTCACATGTGCCACACACTATTCATTGCAAAGCCTATTTAAATTATATAGATATAGATATAGATATAGATATAGATATATAGATATATTATTCTTCATCACCACTGGGCAAGAAAGGGTTAGTTCAGCGGGGCTGCTTTTCTCAAATCCTGCACATTCCAGGACTGGGCTTTGATTCTACCAGGGAGACAAAATTTGAGCTATTGTTAGTGCACCTGTTCAGAGGTTTTTAAAAATATGTTTCTTCTGTATGTACGAAGACTTGGGTGACGGTGGTCCGCTCTGACCAGAGAACTTTAGAGTGTAATTTACAGAAAATATTTGTTTCTGTTGAAAGAAAGTGGTGACATGGGAGTCAGGGGAGCTGAGGCTGTTTCTTCGGGGCTGCACGCTTATGGGATATCCTGAAAGTGAACTCCAGGCCTGGTCCCTGGCTAAGCTTCGCTGGTGCCCCTCACTTCATGTCTCACACACGGCTGGGAGCTGTCATCACGTCCCCGCGGGGTGGCCATATGGAAGTTTGTTTCTCAATTTTGGTTTATGACTCTTTTTATTTTGTAATAAAAAATACGGTTAGGATTATACAGCTTTTCTGAGTTGGAGGAAGGTCTTGAGGCCAATTATGAAGCCTGGGGGTTGTTTTAGAAACTTCAGCATGTCACCCTATAAGTTTGATTATTTTTCACGTTGTGTGGAGAATTTGTAAAAAAAAAACGTATGAGGTAGCTCAGGCAGAGTCTCAAAACTAGTTTAAGTATTGGCATTTTAATTTGAAACCAATTTAAAGCCAGAGTTTGGTCATTTTATCACTATCCATTTTTTATAAAAACATTTGATATTATAAGCTACTGAATAAATATACTAAAATGCTATCTGACTCTTTTCCTATGTTTATTGTCAAGAATGATAATTTCAAATTGTATATTTATTTTCTGTTACTAAGACTCCATTTTACCTGTGGGAAAAAAATAACTTACTGAGTCAGATTTATTCATTAGCCCCCCTACTTTTTTCAAAATATCTTTCCTCTTGTCACATCAAAAACGCAAACATAATACATGACCTTCTCATATCTATGACTATATCTCTCTCTCTAACTGCCCATCAGTATCCATGGGAGAGTGGCTCCAAGAGCCCATGCGGGTACCAAACTCTGTAGCTGCTTAAGGGCCTTACTTAAAGTGATGTAGTATTTGCATATGATCTATCCACAATGCCCTATACCCCTAAATCTTCTCTAGAATACTTGTAATACCTAATACTGCAATGTAAATGCTACATGCTATAAATAGTATACGATATTGGTCAGGAAATAATTACAAGGAAAAAAAGTCTGTACATGTTAAGTGTAGAAACAAATTTTTAAAAATATTTTCGATCCACAGTTCACTGAGTCAAAAAAATGTGTAACCCATGGATTTGGTAGGCCAAGTGTGTGTGTGTGTGTGTGTGTGTGTGTGTTGAAATTACAATGAGTAATCTTTAAATCACATTAAATCTTATTTGCTTTGGGGAAAAATACTTCAACTAGATAAGACTTTGAAAAGTTTCAGAGTAACAGAAAGCATGAAACTAGTCACTCTGCTAGACCTAAAGAAAATGCAAGGTATCTGTTGATTGCTAAACACAAAACAGAAAAATAATAACTACAAGGAAAAGTCCTAGGTTTGCTTTCTCAAACTTTAATTTAGGTACACTTTGTAAAGGGCATCCTGGTTTAATTAGATATGCTCATTAGGTGTCTGAGATAGTAGCTTTATTCTAACATTTGAACAAAACTATAATTTATGTATCATCCTTTTCAAATCCACCCAAAGCTTAGCATTACGCCCTGTTGTACACACAGTACACGGCAGTGTTCGCCTTTATCACCAGAACAGATCACACAACCTGGTGTTGGAGGTGTCAATACACCTGGGAAGATGCAGTCTACCTTACACATACAATGTGGATGTCCATTATATCGATGCATAAAGAGCAACAGTTTCACGTTGTCCAAAGTTGCTAAGTAAGCCCTTAAATTATTTTTTAAAATGCAAGTAAAGCATGCAGAGGAAGGATAGAGCAACCTCTTGTAGGTGGTCATTAAATATATCAGATATTAGCGAGATAACTGTTCAAATTCAAAGAACAAATTCAAAGAACAAAAGTTTATGATGTAGAAAGATCAACTGTGTCATGTGTGTCTGAGCCTTTCTGACTTGTTTTGTCCCCATTACAGTATTATCCATCAGTTGTCAGTTTCCATCATTCAGCAAGAGCCAATATTTATTCAAACCTACTGAAGTGTTCAATCATCTTAAATAAATATCCCACAGAGTAAATGCAAACAAAAAGGCTTCATTTAACACGTGTGTCATTACCTTCAAAACAAATGATCAAATAGTATGTTTTCATTAATTAGGACATAAAAGTTTTCTTTAAAACAAAGAGTACAAAATTCTGTTTTGAACAACTTCATAATGTTAAATTAAACATATTGTTTAGGACTAGAACGTGGCACATAAAAGCCTTTTTTTTTTAGGCTTCCATTTATGCTATGGGAGGTGGTACACTCCCTGGTCCCGGTACTCATTCCCTCCCTCTGTGGTCCTAAACAGTACATGCAGCACATCGGGTCTCTCCTTCCACCCAGAGTGTTATGATGAGAATGTAACTAATTTGCCTTTTCCATGTTTCCCCATGGAAGAAACCTGAGCTTGAGATGGCTTATGTGGACCCTACACAGCCTAGCTGACTCCAGGACAAGTTCTTCCTCCGTGAGAGATCTGGGATAGTTTACGGAAGACGAGCTCAGGTGTAGGGTTTAGAAGAGCTCACAGAGACAGAATACTCTGTAAGTCAGGGAACTGTGCTATATGGCAGTCTCGAGGGTTCTGAGAAACCCACACACTGCTTCCTAAAAGGTCTAGTATTTAAATACCTGCCTTACAGATTATTTACATAGTCACTAAAAGATATATAAAAAAGTCTCAAAAATAGCTATAAAAATTCAATCTGATCTCCAAAAGTAAATGTTTAAAACCTTACTCCTGTTGCTCAACATTGTCTTCAGTACACATATAGAAATTTTTCTATTACAATTAATAAAATAATCCCAGCAAACTCCCAGGATGCAAGATAAATTTGCATCAGCAACTTTTCTATATAATGGAAATAAACAGAAAATAACTTTTTCAACATAAATAAATACAAATCCCAATAGCCACAGTAATATCCTGAATCACTGTAGCCATGGCCGTAACAATCAATAAAATGCTTATGAATAACCCTGTAAAGAAAATTATAAAAAGCTGTAAAGAGAAATAGAGAGCTATAACCTATACATGAATGAGAAAAATATTTACAATATAAATATCAATTCTTCCAAAAATTCATTAATATTAACATAATTCAAAGAAAAATCTTTGTGGGAGTAATTTTAGAGCTTTTTGAACTTTTTGAAGTTTGTTTGAACAAAAAGGTTTGGATCCTAAAGAAAATTCTGAATGTGAATGTTGAGAGAACTTTTACTATATTTATAAAATATATGATTATGATACATTTAACAGTAGAGAAATGGCTTTGAAATTCATTTGATGTTTAAATTAGTGTAACAATACAGGTATTACAGAAATATCCATTTATTTATTTTTTTATTCAACAAATACATGCCAGTCATATGCCAAGCAATGTTCTGGTTAAAAAGGGACAACACAATTCCTGTCCCCTTCTGTTAAGTTTGGTGGGGAAAAATTAATAGCTATTTTCATTAGAAGAGAAACTGATATAATGGAAATGGTAATCCATGGATGTACATAAAAAGGAGCATTAAAATTATTGTCCAATAAAATGAGAACCAGAAATAAATTCTAAAAATTAAGGAATTGTTTGACAATTATTGAAATAGTGGCCTCGCTTTTGCAAGTCAAATGTGTTTCATGAGATATACATATAGATCCCAAATGTATTATGGAAATAAATAAAACTACAGTGCAACAAACAAAGATATATGAGGTCATTACTGACATGCATTTTTGAAAAAAGTATATGTACTTCTGACGCTATAAATACTAGAAAAAAATTACAAAGAAAATGCCTGGCAGGTTGGACTATGAAAAAAAACTATTAAAATTAATACAATTTACATTTATTATTTTAATATAGAATATATTCTAATAATATTTAATAAGTGTAATACAAAATGAATAAAACAGAAGTAGCTCTGAAACTTTTTATGTCCAATGTAATAGTCTATTTTAATATAAATACTAAATATCAGATGAAAAATAGTCAAAAAGAACTTCAGAATAAACAAACAACTCATTAATGAACATATGGAAAAATGTTCAACCTCATTAAAACTCAGGGAAACAACCATTAAAACAATGATTGAAAACATTTCATCTAACAAATTGGCAAATAATAAAAACACTTTGATATTGGTTGCTATTTTGAGATTGCTTTGAATGATGCTTCCTGCACCCCGGGAGTGTTTTCTGAAAATTCTGAAGTAGACTTCCTGTACCAGTAGGTCGAAGAAGCATTCTAACCATATGTAGTTAGTAAGGGATGATCTTTTCAGGCACATCATATTGTAGCATTCCACAAACCATAACCATTTTAGGCAAACGACTGTTAAATACTCATCATAGTCTTATAGGTATCATAGCCAGTGTGTGCAATAGATGTGATAAATACGATGAATTGTTGAATAGATAGAGAAAGGAATTTGCTTCTTCATGATAAAAGAAAATGGGCACTGGTTTCTCAGAAAGTATGTTTCTGTACTCTTTGATCTAGTAACTCTAATTCTAGGTTTTTATTTAGGTGAGTAATACCATGCTAGAAAATAAAGTATATACAAAGAATTTCTACAAAAAGACTAGGTAGAAAAAATAGGAGCAACCCAAATACTCAACAACACAGAAATTTGGAGTAAACTTTATTACATTAACTTGGCAGTATATTATATCATTATTATAAAGATATATGCACAAAGTTTTAAAATTCATATTTAAAAGGTTTATGCCAAAATGTTAAATCTAGAAGATGATTTTTAAGTGGTGTATCTTGGTTATAAATATGTGGTAGTATGTCATGGAAGACAGCATCAAAATCCCTTCTTCACCACTCTTTATCTGTGTGAGTAAGTTACTTAGCCACTATATGTCTGTTTTATCATTTATAAAATATAAAAGTAGTAACCATATTGCCTATCCCAAAATGTTATTTTTAATTAATAATAAAATTAGAATTCAAGCAGAGTCAACAGAATCTTCCAGGTACTAAGTATTCAGTAAACTGCAGTTATAGCTTTTATTTTAGTTATTAAACAAAAACTATGCCTATGCATATCAGAAAGTTTAGATGGCAACACGCCATGTGTTGGTGATAGTTGTGTGGGTGGCCTGGCCAACCAGGATGTTTGGAACAACTCTTCTATATGTTGGAAATGTCCCCTATCACAAGTTTATATACCACCGTGACAGATGCTAGAAACCCACTTCTCAGTCTTTGAGACAGTTAGTGTACAAGCATGTGGCCTATTCTCCACTGATGCCACCGTGCAGAGCTTCACTCAGAAACATACACTTCACAGAAGCCATCCGGCAGTCTGTTCTGGGAGCTGAGGCTGCTGCCAGCTCTCCGAGGTAGTGAGAGTAGAGGTTCCACCCTTGGACCCAGCGTCAGTAGTGTGGTCAGAGGTGGCCAGGCCAGTGAGATTTTTCTAGAACAGTGTTCATATACATCTGGTTGGGGACAGTGCTCAGAGAGGGTGTCCCCCAAGGCTGACCTCTGTTCCTTATTTTAGCTGATACTAGACACATTTTCCTCCATTAACCTCTTCTTCCACAGTACCCGAGCCCACATGCAGGTGTGTGTGCATGTATAGCCGCCTGCACACACACACACACACACACACACACACACACACACACACACTCTTATTTATGACTGCATTGATATAAAGACATTTATAGGTATAATACAATTTTTCAATCTAAACATTTATTTTTTTCCTTTGAATTTTAAAAAGAAATTAAAATCTGAAATGTATTGTGGGCTTAGGTACTAGATCTTACTGTGCCTACTGGATAAGTCTACCCTGTTGAAGGTTTTCAAATGAATTGTTTGGGCTTTAAAAGAGTTAATGTGTATTCCATGTTTTCAGCTAAAAAACCTGATCACACAGATTGCAAAAATGCAGTGATAATTTTTTTAACATTTTTCACTTTAGAAATTCTCACATTTAAAAAACAGTATGCATTATTTAAGGGAAAATAATACATTTATGAAGGGAGAAAAAATGTGATCAATTAATGTATCATCAAATGACACCAAATGAAAACCTAGGCACATCTCAGAATCTCAAACCAGACAGGTACTGCAAGGATCCCTGCAGAAAAATGCATTAGGTCTAATCATGTATCTGCCATTGAAATGACCTTTATCCCATATCTTGACAAAGTTTTCACTTCCAGTCATACTCAGCTCTGTAAGATATTATATGTTATATATATAATATATATACATATAATACAATATTAGGAAGCAAATCAGAATCTGTCCTATAGTTTGTTAAAAAGTTCCTCTGGGACACTAAGCTACAATTTTTATTTCTGAAATGCTCTCTTTGCCCTGAATGCATCTCCAACATCTGAATATTCTTTATATTCCCAGCTTAGATACCTTTTATCAATCTTCAGAATCATTCCATAACTCTCCAGCTCAAAATACTTTCCCATACTTGTTTCTTTTATTCTGTATCAACTTATGATTTCCACAAGTAAACTGTTGCTTCCACACAGCGATAGGAATTTCTAAGTCAGGGCACTTTCTTCTATAGCTTCAGATCACAGGCTTGTCATGTCTTTGACTCCCATAAGAAAGAAACAAAATTTCTTTGGGACATAGTTAAAAGGAAATCTGAAATACAATTCAAAAATGCAGATACTTTTTTGTTGTTGTTGTTAAAGCAGCTAACCAAAATCAAATGGTGAAAAATGCACAAAACTGAGAACCTAGGAATACTGATTCTCAGTCCTGGTTACACTATTTAATGCTATGGCCTATAAAATCCAAGTCAAGGCTTCAGTTCCTTTCCAGATAATGTAGATGCTTAATCTCTGATGGTTTGATTTCTAATAAAGATTTAGATCCTCTAAGTCATTAGCTAAGTGAAAAAGTAAAATGAATGAAACTGCTGATCAATATCATTTCATTTGTACCTGTGGGAAAACTGGCATCTGAAAGAGGCGACAACAAGAGGATAATCAGAAGGCTGTGGTGGTTATCAGCAGCAAGTATTGTAGATAGGTAAGTTAATTAGATACCTGGGTAGGCAGTTAGACAGGACAGGCCCTCAAGGAGCCAACACAGAGAACAACTGAGCACATTCACTGGTCAGCATTATGAAAAGAAAAGAGGTTAGCGATATAAAAAAGAGAAGAAGTACTGCTCCCCGCAAAGATGAAGAGCAGTGATTGATATTTTAAATGTTGACATTTCTTATAGTGACTTGTTTTCCCACTTGATCCCCATTTAATCAGTATCACCTGGGTGACTGTACTTGTAATCTTATTGGATGATCTCTTGGTTTGTCCCCCCTCATGCCCACCTTGTAACGTAACACTAGGTCTTACAGCTTTGTCCCACTTTGTACCCACCTCACTTCGTGGCTTTGCCAAGCAGGGTGGGTGGGCAACTCACTTTCCACTTGCCCTTCTTTTTCTCTTAGACAGAAGTGATCTATCTCAATTACTTTTTTCCTACTATCCATTGTTCCTAGAATTCATTCTTTGATTTAGAGAATACGGACTCATATTTGGGGTATTTTGCAGGTTTGGGAGTTACATGTATTCCCTCTACACCACAAGCACCTAAGAGAGAATAGGCGCAAGAATCCAGGAGCAAAGGACATTTGGATGAGAAGCAGCAGAAACATTAGTACAATGCAAATCATATTAGAAAAAATGATTTCTAAAGTGTTTTTCTATAATTTTATAACAAAAGTTAAAAATTTCAGAAATACATGCTGGGCATTTTACTATCTTTGTGTTCCCAGTCTTCTCCTGGGGTAGATGTCTACATGGAGTTTATCTTGCTTTGTAGCTCTGCGTCAAACTTCAGGCTGGAGAGACCTTCCATCAGGTGCTTTCTATCCATTGGCAACTTACCAGCACAAAGCCCTTCATATGCCCATTCTCACCCTTTGGAATTCTCATATCATTTATGAGATGGAAGCTTGCTGCTCAGGTATGCTTTAATATAAATTTACTTTTTTAACTCTCCATATTATCATGTCTTCCTATATATAGATTGCAATTAGAATGCTTGTTTAGTGAATGCTTCCAAGAGCAAAACAGATTTATACATTAGTGTTTTTAGAACATGCTATATACCAGAATGACTCTGGGAATACAGATTCTCATTCAGTGTAATTTGGAAAGGTGTACCACATGCCCGAAATGATGCACCTGGATGATTTTATTTTAGCAGCTCTGGGGGAAAAAGGGATGTGTAATTCTGCTGAATCTTCATTTAAACTGTTGAATCACATTTCAGAAAACCCAGTGAGGTCAATGGTTTTAATTATCCAAATACAAAGTGATAGACATAGAATTTAGCACTAGGAAGTTTAGATGGGAAGGCTATTTATTTCCTAAAACAAGTAGTTAAAACTTCCTATGAAAGGAACATCTCTTCCGTTTTGTTGACCTTAGGCCATGGGAAGTGAGCTGACACTGGGAAAGCTTTAATGTAGTAAGCATCACAGTGACATTAACTATTTTATTCTCATGAGAGTGAGGAAGCAAAGAGTGCAATACGAGAAGAAATGACATACAGCAGCAATATATGGGTAACAGTGGAGAAATTAATATAAAACACAAAAAGTCAATAGCCTGTAAGAATACTGGTGACTGTGTATGACATTCCTTATGATAAGCCTCATAAAAATACATGTTGAAAATAGACACTATAAACATGAGTAATAAAGAAAGCCAGAGATATCATTGTAAGGGGAAAGTACATTTGTTGTTGTTGTTGTTGTTTAAAATTGAATTAGCTTTATCAGTTCCACCCTGAAGGAACCATACTCAAGACATTTGTAGAGTTATGACTCCAAAAGAAGGGATAATTCTGAAGAGATAGATTAACAGAAATCTCATGAAAATAAAGCCCATCAAGGCCCAGGTAAGTTGTTGTGCTAAAGACAAAATAACTCTGAGGTACTGTTTTCCAAGTCAAGAGGGTAAGACAAATAAAATTTGTATCAATATTAGATACTTTCAGTAGATTCAAATGAGAATGGTTTTATATCTCTCACAGCAGGAGTTCCTTATTATATAAAATTCAGAAGACTATGTTAGAAGAAGCATTTTCTGGGCCAAAAGAAAAAAGAAAGAAGGTGCTCAGATGCAGCAAACAGTACTTGTGTTCCAGGAGGTAGAAGAAAAAAAGAATCAATTGAATAAGCAGAGAAAGCTGTCTAACCCTCTTTTGAGCCTCCATCCAAAGTGAGAGAACAGCAGGGGACAAAGACCAAAGGCAGATTGTTCTCCTTTAGAGAAACACGAGGCCAAAGAAAATATTTCCACTGCTCCTAAAGAGATGAACAGTACTGAATGTCTGAAAAATGTGCAAAAGGAGCTTAGAAAAAAAAAAAAAACTGTCTCACAGGCATTTGGTCTTCACCGGACTGTGAGAAGAAAAGACAGCTTCACGTATCTACCAAGGAGCCTCACTCCACAGAAGCTTCTGAGAGTGAAACAAGACCGAATCAGAAATCAAGGCAAGGGAAATGTAGACGTTTAACTTCTCTGGCGTTTATATGTAGATAGAATTTCTCCTTTGCTATGGGTATTTATTAGAATGTTCAAAATAATTTATCCAATTTGCATTATTTGGATCATCTTTGCTAGATATTACAATTGCATAATTTCTGGGGAAAGCTGCTGGCCACGTGGCCAGGTACAATTTGTGATGAAAAATAGTCAGTGGATTTTGAGTTACGATAGAGCAGGATTTTGAAATTCCATAATGTGCTGTCCTAAAATACTGCAATGACCTCAGGACTAGTGCAGCCCCATAGATGGTTTTATGACAATGCAGATGCAGTCCATTCTGCCCTATCCTACAGTGATTCACTAGCTACAGAGTGATGTACACTGTGCCCCAAACTCTGGATTTTTATTTAATACATTAGGGTTTAAAATAGCCATATGTGGCTCATGGCTACTCTTTTGGACATTGCAGCTCTAGATAAAATACTGAACTTCACCAGATACAAAAAGGAAGGGTGCTATTCTCAACTTTATGAATAGAAAGTAGAACCCTCTGGGGATGAGTGATCCTTCTCTCACTGAGGCCAGACTTCACTCCAGTAAGCCATACCAGAGACTGCTAAATCCAAATGGGTTATGAAAACAAAAAGAAGACAGCTCATAGGATGGGGGCCCAATCTTCAAGACTCTAATCTCTAATAGCACTGCCGTAGAGAGCACGCCTGCCTTTCTTCCCCCTTCTCATGCATGGGCTTCCCACTGTTCTGGACCCTAGGAGATCACATTCTCTCTTGTTCCTCCCTGTGACCAGCCCATGACTGTGGGCTCCATCCTAGGCAGGGGCTCTGTATCGTCCAACTAGACTGAGTTCATAAGTTACTATCAGGATGAAATATTAGGAAGTTCAACTTGATATCAAGTGTGTCATATCATCAAATCAAGGTCTTAGTAATAAAGCTACTGCTTATAGCTCCATTTGCCTGATTTTGATGCCTACCGATCAGTCACACATGAAACACAAAGGAAGGGAACAGGATTATTTATCGACCAATGCCCTTGCTCAGGAATTCAACAGTAGATATTTCTGATCTGTTAACAGCTTCCAAAGTAAAAAGGAGGGCTTGCATTTGTGGTGGACTTGTTTTTCTTTTTGGAGGGGATTTTAGTGTATTTATTTGTTTTCCTTAGTACATGTTTGCAGTATGTAACGATTACAAGGGGAGTTAGTATAACATCACTCTCTTTTTGTCTCTAAGATGACGTAATTAATACCTGTAAGCATATAAACAGACGTGTAATCAGGGTGTACGAAGGCAGCCATGACCCAGAGGACTTGATCATAGGCAGGTGCTTTCTGCAGAGATTAATGCCTTCTCCGACCTTTCTGAACTAGCCCAGTTCCCCATTATTTACGTCTATGTCAGCTAGTACTTCTCCTTCATAGCATATCAAATATGTATTTGTGTGACTCATTAAGGAAGACCTTACAATTCCCACTAGATTACAAACTCTATAAGAAGTTTGAGCATTTAAATTATTCTATTTCCAGTACTTGGAACGATGACTGAATGTTTAAAATGCTCAATAAATAAATGATGCAGTGTATCACTTAATGACAGATAAGATTATCTTTAATATGAGCACAGATTATGATACAAAGCCATTTTTTTTGTTTCTTTAGGCATAGGCCTCAGAAAGAAAAACTATGCAAAAAACTTCTTGTTTGGGCAGGTTATAGTAATTCCCAGGAAAAAAATTAAAACTGATTGTAACATAGAAACCGTAATAATGGCTGGACTTGGGCAACGCTTGTGCTCAGATTCTACAGATCCAAAGGGTCTCACAGTAGAGCTGGGTGGACAATTCAGAATGCTCAGCACAGTGCTCAGGTCATGGCAGCAGCCTTTAAGTACTGCCATGATATTCCCACACTACACTGAGAATTTTACAGAAGGTGACAGTCAGGGCAGAAGAGGGGCACTTTACTGAGCCAGGTTCCTTACCATTTTGTCCAACTAGCTCCCCCTCAAGGTATTTTTGAAGCTCATACAGCAAAGGCCAATGGGAACTATCTGCAAATAAATGCCACGGAAAGATCAATATAAATTGTGGATTTCATTGTGGATTTGTTCAACAAATCTCAAAGTATCTAGAGCAAAGGAATATGCTTTGGGAAGTGAGATTACCACTATTTTACTTGCACAAATTAGAAATACAATCTAGAAATAAAAATACATCTGACATAAATTGGGCACATTAAAGGACACCCTGAACACAGCTATGTTTACAGCTGAAAGCCACAACCTCCACTAACCATGTCTTATTTTTTCCTTTGGCAATTAAACACTAAAATTAGAGGGGTGATTTATGCTCCCAAATTCTAGAATATTTTCAAAACTCAAGTTATTAATTAATTCTTTATTTTGATTTTCTGAGACAGAGTCTCCATATGTAGTTCAGGCTGGTCTGGTACTACTGGAGATCCTCCTTTCTCAGCATCCAGAATGCTGGGATTGCAGGCAACCACCACTCCTCTTGGACACACACACACACACACACACACACACACAATTATTTTAAGGTTTTGGGGCTTTTGTTTATTTGTTTTTGCTTTGTTTGTTTCTTTCAGACAGGGTTTCACTATGTAGTTCAGGCCGGCCTTGAACTCACTATGGAGCCCAGGCTGCCCTCAAACTTGCAGCTATCTTTCTGCCTCAGCCTCCAGAGTGCTGGGATTACAAGTGCCTGCTGCCACACCAGGCAAGTGTTAGGTTTTATGCAGACAGAAAAATGAGGCACAGGATAAAGCATCCCTGGAAAAGAAGCAATTGCTTTGGGGAACAAGGAATTATTTATATTCACCTGGCTCAAAAATGAATTTAAACATATTATGAAATAAAATATATATAAATTAAGGTATTCTATAGGAAAAGGTCTCTATTCAGATATTATGAAATAAATTTCAATTAGGAGTCCTAACTTTAGCTTTGATTAATAATTACATATTTATGTTTTAGAAATATCTATGCAAGAAAGATGAAACTGAAGTTATAGGAATGCTAATGTGTCATTTAAGGTGCTGAAGCAGAAATGTCTGGGCAATCATAGAGAATCCTCGGTCCATATGGGATTTGAAAAACTTAGTCTGTGCCCTTCTAGAGATTTAAAGTGGCATTCATTGAAAGTGTGTGCCAATAGATTTTTTAACCTGACACCAAGGGAGATATGAAATTCCTTTGATAGAGAAGACTTTGATCTTGGACTAGAAAGATAAGAGACAAGAACAAAGCAAAGAGAATCCAGGCCTAGTCTCATTTTTCATTTAAATGTTTTAGGGAACATTTCAATGAAGTAGAAATTTTCTTATAGAAAAAAAAAACAAGTAAACCTTAAGTATTCACATTTTTTACTAATTGTAGATATCTCCAGACTACACACACACACACACACACACACACACACACACACACACACACAAAATGATACATTTTCAAGGGTTCTGTTTTTAAAAATTTGAATTTAAGTAAGTATCACACAGCTCAATACTCTTGAAATGTGAGTAACTCTGACTCCAAATCCACACACACTGTATTTTGATTTCTTGCCCAAGGTAACATACCCACAGGACTAGAACTACAACTAGCAATTAAACTCTGAAATGCCTTACGATATGGATTATGTAGACTACTTCCCACATCTGTCCGTCACTAACTAGCAATATGAATAACACACCACGCGGACATTCCTTCAGCCCCTTTCCCTTTGCTCCTACACAAGTTTAGAAGAAGCTTCCCAGCATTCTGTGCGATTAAGTGGCTAAGATCCTGTCCACAGAGTGTAGACAGGTGCTATCGACACTTCCTCCAGATCTGCCCTGTGAGACTCTTCCTATGGACACCGAGCAGCGCCAATTCACAGGATGAAAATACGCCGGAGCCCTGTGTGGCCACAGAAGGCCTTCTCTCTGCCAGCAATGCTGAGATGGGAATTTACATGGACACTGAATGCACTTTTATCCTGGTACAGTGACAGTATTTTGGAATATCCAAAATAGTTTTTACTATTTCACATATTTCATACTCCCATCAGCAAAGTATGAGAAATCCAGTTGCTCTACAGTCTCACAGTTAATTGATAGTCATCTTAACAGTAGATATTTTGTCCACGTATTAATAGTAACACATATAATTTTAATTTGCTTTTATTCCTGATGACTTATAATTTGGAACATGTTGATTATGCTTGTCACTCATTTGTTATATCTTCATTTCAGAACTAGCTATTCAAACCTTTCCCCTATTTTTAATTGGATATTCATCATTTTATTATTTTCTGAGTTTTTATTATATTCTGGAATCAATCTTTATGTCAAATATGTTTTGGCAGAACTTTTGTGTGAGCATTATTTTTTCCCATCCTTTGGCATTTCATTTCTGTAATGATGTCTTTCAAAGACCAAATGTTTACACACCTACAGAGAATACTCTATCTTATTTTCTTTGAAAAGTTTTACATTCTTAGCCAGGTACAGTGGCTCATGCCTATAATTCCAGTACCCTGGGAGGCTGAGACAGGAGGATTGCCAATCTTAACCCAACTTTCATAAAATATAATAGGAATTGGCATTTCACAATTGATTTTGCAAAGACATCATCATTCTATAATTAAAAACAATAGAAGTAAGTACATTCCATTACCACTTATAAGCAGAGAAAAGAAATTCTTAACAACACATCAACAAATCAGTTTCATTATATATACAAGGGATGATAGATTGTGAGCATTTGGAGTGTATCCCAGGATTGCAAGAATAGTTTAACATTCTAAAACTACTCACACATTGCACCACACTAACAGAAGGAAGGTGGGGATTCTGTGATCACCGCAGTGGATGCAGAATAAGCATTTGAAAATGCATCACTCACCCATGGTGAAAGCTATCAGAAAATTAGGACTAGAGAATTTATTTAATATCATAATGTGCCTCTATAAATGATCTACAGCACATGT